CTCATCTCCTCTAAATATGTGTACTCAGCGAGTTTTCATTGTGATTGATTTTGAGATTTGATCTATTCTATTTCAGACATGTTTTAACATGCTGTCATCTACCTGTGTTTGCAATAACATTTATTGCGCGTGTAAATTTATAATTAGAATAATATTTCCCTAGCCGATTTGTAGGGGTTACATATCACAGATGTATATATATTAAGTTTTTCAGTTCAAAGTGCAGGTCGTGCGCCTTCCTTACAAACATTCAAGCTCATTATTTAACACCCTACACATCGGCGTTTCTTATATATTATGTATACAATATTTTCGATATTAGCAATGTTTTTAAGCGTTTTCTTTTTGGCAAAGCGTTAAATTGAAATGTTATTAATTAATTCGTTTTAACCAGGTTATGAGATATTTTGATTCGCAGAGGAGCGACCTAGTCGGTTGGATATAAAATTGAGATATTACATAATTGTCCCTGACCTATGTCTTCTCTAAGTATAAAAAATGTTTTCACATATCCTACAGTATTATTCAAAACGTTTACCTTTGGTGGGGGAGGTACTAGAAAGAGTGAGATATTATGTCCATTTTCACATCTGATCTAAGTCTCATCTAAATGTAACGATATACAAGTTTAACATATATCGGGTACTTCCTCTGCTCAAATTTTGAACGTCAGTATTCATAGAACTTCATTTTGAACTTCAGTATTCAGTATTCATTTCTCAAAACTTTGCCTAAAATAGGAATTAATATTAAGATGTGCTAAGTTTAATAAAAATCGGACACTGATTTCACATTTTATTATCATTATTATTCATCGTTTTGATCATTTTTGGCAGGGTATAAGAAGAGTACGCAAATATGTTTAAACCTAATTTATTATTATCTAAAGTCTACGATGTGCCAAGTTTGTATCCTAGTCGGATACTCGCTTCGAGAGTTATCGTGCACACATACATATAGACTTGCATGGCTAGATCGACTCCAAGCGTCCTAAAACAGTTATTTCGTTTATACAAATCGATTTGTTACGTATCATTGCTTTAACCGACAATGCCGCATGGCCGGCTAATAGGGTATAAAAGAAAGCTCACCAACACAATTGACCACTTATTATTCTGCACTCTCGATGTTTGCACTTTCAGTTAACTCTCAAGAATCGACCGGAACAGACGTGCCGAAAGTGTTTTTGTTAGTCGGGGACAAAACAAGATTTGGTCGAGGTTTCGCCGTGTAAAAGTGCTAGCCTTGTGTTTTATCTTAAAAAGTAGACCCGCGAATTGCGTCCCAACATACGAGTATGACCCATAAGCGAATTTTAACCGTTATTATTTTCAACAAATAAACGTAATTTCGCGGTCGCAAAATATTTAAGTGCATACGTACCGCATCTCACTGCTACTCTGAATGTTACTCGTAAAATCTCAATTTTATATTTAATTGTTTTTCAAACCAACTATTTAATGGAGTAACAGCAAAGTTCATAATAATTAATAAGGGGATAAAAGAGACTATTTATTATTCGGCTGCAGTTTATTAAAACGTGTTCCAAAAAACAACTTAAAATTAATAAATCGGGAAGCAAGCCTTGAATCTAATGATAATTACGGTTTCTATCCAACCGGAATGAGAAGTGAAAACAGAACGATTCAGAATTTATGTCGTTTTGGCATTGGTATATCAATGCATAGGTTTTTGACTTTGATTTAAAATTCACATTTCATTGAACTTAAACCCAGCTGCCGTATTTTCTATAATTAGTGTCAATACATGATTACGTATGTTTTTTGTATGTTTTTTTCCACAAGATTACTGGGGTATAAAGCCAGCTCTTTTGTAACATAGAAAAATATAATCAACAATATATGATATACAAAGAGCGTCGTAAAAAGTACTTTGTACCATCAAAGGGTTTTGTATAAGAAACACCATGTGTTCCCGTTCGTTTTATATTCAAAATTGTATGTACAAATATTTTGTAGTTCTAAAAAAACAAATTCAAGAACTAAAAAAACGTATTTATTGTAACATAAAAAATGTTAAAATAAAAACCTGCTAAATTTAGTCCGTGTATACTTAGAGTTTGTCCTTGTGATTTATTAATTGTCATAGGAAATGCCAAATGAAGAGAAAACCACAATCTTTTAAATTTGAACTGCATTTTTTTCTATTCGTGGGATTCCCCGTAATAATCGCCGTCTAAATTATATTGTTGTGTACTTTTTTCACTGTTAGAATTTTAGATCAACTTCCCTCACACTTCATTGAAATTTGACATACATAGCGTGTTTGGTGTATCAAATACTCCAAATCATTTATATAGGATCTATATTCAAATCTGGATCAATATCAGTGTAACTTGACTAATTTTTTGTAGACCAAATTCCGTATCACATTCCAAATTTCACTGAAATTGGAGATGCATAGCGTGGTTGGTTCATCAAATGCATGAAATAGGCCAAAAAATATATGGAAGCTATATCCAAATCTAAACCGATTTCAATATTATTTGGTAAATTTATTTTTATACCAAATTGCGTACACATTACTAACTTTAAAACTGTATATTTAACCGATCAATAGATATTTGCATACAAAATCCAGTTCCAAGTGGAATTTCAAAAATATATCTGGAAAATTTCAGGAAAATCTGTTTAGCGGTTTTTGAGTCTATAAAATACAAACAAACAATCAAACGTACAAACATTTTCCTCTTTTATAGATATAGAAGAAGAAGATTTCCGATATATGTTCACGAATTGGTAGTTCATAGCTAGGCATATTAATATCAAATTTTAAGGGCAAACGACGGCTCTGGTATCCCTTTATGATATGTCACAAAATATACCATGCGAAAATTTCAAGCTATTTACAGGGTGCGATAAAAAATGCAACAAAGTCAAACGCCATATTTTTTATATTTTTTAATTTTATTGAATGAAATAAGATAATATTCGGCATTTATGGCGGCCCACACCATTACCATGGCTGGCGTTTGAGTTCTGGTGGCCAACCGAAGGTGCAGATTTTCAGCTGACCTCTTTGGCTATTAAACACGATCATTTTGTTTGTTTGTTCACAAACTGCTGGACAATGAATGTTTTCTCATCGGAGAGAACCAAATTCGGCGCTTCACCACTTTCGGCCAAGCGAAGCGAAGCTCTTTCGAGTCTATTTTCTTTCTCTTGCGGTGTATGTTCTTGCACTTTTTGGAATTTCAATGGCTTCATTCCGAACTCATTTTTTTAAATATTTGCCGAATGGAATATTGCGATATGTTCAGCTTACGAGCTATTTTTCGGTAGTACGAAAACGAGCGATGTACGAGACACAAACAATTAATTCACATTTAAATGCTGGAGTGCTCTAGCGATAGCCACTTATGGTTTTCCAGCCAAATATAAAAAAATCACACGATTACGCTTGAATTTCATGACAAATAAGTTTTTTCTGGAAAATTCTCACCAAAATGCTTTTGTACGGTTCTAAACAATATAATGATGCAGAGCTCATCTTTTTCATTCCCAAAATCGAACTTACAAACCAGGGAATTGAAGTCTGACGGGCGCACTCTGTGCCAAGGTTACTCATTACTTGGACATGAGTAAAGTAAGTTATTTTGTCTTTTTATTTTTTAATGAATAATTAATTGCCCTCAACCTAATGACAATGCTACTGTTTAGATTGTCTTTTAATTGTTATTTGGCCCATACAGCTCCCAAGTTTCTGCTGGAAAGTTTTGTTTACATTGCCTTGTAATCTGTCTTCCAAATTGTTGTTGGAAATTCTATACACTTTCCACTGGCTGAAATTAGTTTTATTTATTTATTTATTTTTTTTTTGAAAAGAAAGTGTTTAATAAGATTTATAATATTCGGCTAATGTAATGCCATTTCGTATGATATGTTCGTTGAAGTACACGCTGCTGCAAATAAAAATAACGAAAGCATTTTAAAGGAAGTAGGAATAGCTGTTGACACTCTCCACTCTCGTTTGGTGATGCACAGTGGGTGATTTTTATTACGTTTTTATAATGTGAAAAAAAATGGTTTAATTTCCACAACTTTGCTTAAATACAATATGTGATTTTTTTAAATTTATATTTAATAATTTATAAATATTGGAATTAAATAGTGTTTGTGTATTTGGGTCTTACGGTCGTACCACATATCCACAGTTTGTGCTCAGAGGGGAATCGGGATCATAGTACAATAATTTCAAGGTAGGGCCAAATATACTAATAACAAATGCAACAAGTTGGATCGCCGCAAAATTCTTCACAATATCGAGTTCCTTATTCGAATACAATGATTTTTCATCCCAAAACACAAACATTTATTTTCCCCAAAAGTTGTAAATATTAATTAAAATTCAATTCAAAGAAAATCACATCACAATAGTGCAAAACCTACTGAGTTCATTGTCGAATTGTTGTCAAAAAAGTTTTCTTGGTCATCTTTATCTAGACACTGATTGGGATATTTGTTTTTAATTTTCCTAACTCAGTACTACTCGGTAAGAAAAGTTGATAAAACAATAAAATCTTTTTCCAAAGTTAGAAATTAACAAACTTCAAATTTTTGTGACAATTCGAAATGAAACTACATTGCAATAAATAGCTGTATAAAAATCTTCCACTGTGCCGTATGTGTGTCTTCTCATAATCAGTTCCCCACTAATTTGGAATCTTGCGATAGCCATGAAACAATTTTCAGCTGATTAAAGTCAAAAACGGTTGATAACGCCTATTCTGTAGCTTTTTGCGTGTAGAGTGATGAGCATTTGGAATGCGATACATATTTTGCGACAGTCGGTCGATAGTGTGCCGCGCGAATAGTTGTAACAAAGACGTGAAAAAGTAACAAAAGTTGATTTGAAATTTCTCCAATTAAACAGAAGCGAACGAAAATTTGCCCACAGTTAAGGTTAGGCTTTTAAAGCCCCGACAAACTAAATCGTTTCCCCGGAGACAAGCAAGAGGACACCATTACCGCTGACAGTGACAACATGTGGGCGTCAAATATTTAACAGAAGCCCATTTGAAGGGCTTCGAAAAATACAAGGTAAGAAACGTGAACAAACCCCCAAAGAGTGCAATAATTTAATTAGAGTTGACGACACCGGCAAAAATGGGCTGGACACCTAACGAATTGAATCAAACGTACTCAAACGCTACATTTGTTTGCAGATTATTGTGTTCTTTTAAAATGTCATCGATTGTTTGTTTTTCAAATATTTCTATTGCCTTGAAATTATTTATTTTTTTGTGAAAGCAATTTGTTCCACATGAATTCAAAGAATAGATTAAAAAACCCACACACTCTCAAATTGCTGACCTTAGATTACAATTTAATTGCATTTGAATATTTCCATGTTGTTGCTAAAATTTGTTTATGTTCGACTAGGAGGGGTTCTAAATTTTATAAAATTATACTGTATATAATTTTTATGAAGTGCAAAATCTGTCAGTTACCTATGCAACATACATACGTAGGTCCTCAATGCTTGACTTTCAAGGAGTTTCTAACAGCATAATAATGCCTATTGTTCACTGACCATCCTCACAACCATCCCCAATAAAGCCCCCCACATTTCCAAAAATAGTCTTCAAACCGGATCAACATCATTAAAATGACAAACCAAGACAGTGACACTGTTTCTTGATTTATTCATTTAATTGGATTTTTGTTGGTCAATTGTTGTTATAAAAAAAAATTATATATCACCACCTTTCTGTGACCGTTCATCCGTTCGCATTGCCCCTCCACTGATCGTGCTCGCTTATCTGCTTCGTTTCTTTATTCTGAGATTTTGTTGTGCTCATTGGCGGAGAGTGATCTTTCAATTTCATTTCGTTCTCCGTCCGTCTAATTCCGTTAATGTCTCGATTGTGGGGGGCATTGACCAAGTGAAGCGTCGAGTGTCCAGTTTTGCAAATGAATTTTTCTCAATGGAATTGTAAATTGATTTCTTAAAATGGAATGAGACATTGTTTTTGCTGAACTCACTAGGGCAATGGAAGAACCAGAGGGTTGTGCGTACCGACAGCGATAAGCGGGCTAAGCCAGGCTGGTGTGTTATCATCGTCACAAACGGGTGTCTGTTTGGTGGAGCGAACATGTTGTGCCTGCGGTCTAAAATAGAGATTTGTTGTTGAGTTGTTGTTTTTGTAGACAATAAACTTTTGTGATCTTAATCTGAGGATTCGCGTGCGAAATCTCACAAATGAAATTCGGTCAAAAATTATGAGAAACATGAGGAAACTTAAGAGGGATATAAAAAACAGGTTAATGAAATTTTTTGTCTAAATTTCCTTACACCAAGATGTAATTGAAGTAATTTAATACACGTGTGAACATGCATACATAGATACGTCATATAAAGCAAATTGATTAATTGTTGCATAGAATGCTGTCTGGCCACTGTAAGCAAGTCCTTATTAAATTAACAAGAGTTAGCAAGGGTAGTATAACAGGGTAGTATATCTTCCCCAGGGAGAAATCAGTAACTAGAACAAACATGTACATATAGGCTCATCAGCAACATGTGTGTTCAGTGCAATGGGGAAACCCGACATTGTTCAGAGTAGAACTTTGAACAGTTTTCAATAAATGTTTTGGGATTTTTTGAGATTAACTTTTATAAGTACAGTTATATAGAATAGAAAACTTTCGTAACAAAAATCACCAATATGGTTCACTTCTCAAAACTAAACCCAAATCTGTTCAGAATAGCTGCTTAATGTAACTGATTAAAACTTTTCGGTAGTCGCAATTTATGGGTCCAATAGCGACATCTATCAAGTACAGGGTACAACTATGAAACTCTATAAGATCTAGTCTTCTATGTGTGTTCCAACCAATCTCATATAAATCTGCGACACTAACATGAAGTCTAAAATGGTTCAATTATAAAATATATAACAAATCGAAGACCTATCATTCATATCATACTCGTCTGCTTGCAAGATATTGATTTTATTGAAAAACAATTGCAATTAGTGATGTCTGGGCGTATATAAAAATATCAATTACACTGTAATAGTACGTTTACGCTGTAAAGGATTTAGAAAAATCAGTCGATTTAAATTGTCAATTCCATTGCATATACCTCAAATAAATCTTCATGAAGAAGGTTAACCCGGAAAAAAGCTCTAACGTAAACATGACTTTACACAAATGGGAATCTAAGTCTGGGAATTGAAAATTCCTTTTGGGGATAAAAGGATTGGTGAGCATATTAAAGACCTAAAGGAGAGAGAGGATATGAGTTGCACTTTTAAGATATAGTCGATGTTTTTTTTTTCTTGTGACCCTGTAGTGTATCATAAAATCGCAGTATATGCATTACTGCAGCTTGTGTCGATAATCTTTGAGATGACATATCTTCATATTTCGTCTTTCTAACTCGATAATTTCTGTGTCTTAATTTCTTAAACCGGAACACAATGATAACAAGAAGAGTTTATGATATTAAAGTGGTTCTAATGGGCGAGAATACTATACTTCCATGTTTCCGGGGTTCACATTTGAATTTAAATTATACTATCACGAAAAATAAACTTCCTGTTACATTTGTTTCAGCCAATTTTTGTCCATTTTATGCTAAAACCATTCAAAATATTTCCGTTTGCGATAACACGTGCCACCAGAGCGATTCTTATTTCCATAGTAGACTTAGGTCAGATATGAAATGGACGATATTGGCCCACACTTTCGGAACACCCCATAAATGGTGAACAGTTTGAACAACCATAACGCAAGGTTGATACTCCTCTTTATTGATCCTTTAGTAAATTTTAGTGTTTTCAATGGTCAAGTAGCTTCTTATGTCAAATTTATACGCCAGCTTTTATTTTTATACTCTACACCACATAATGGTAAGAGTATTGTGTCTTTGTGCATTTTCTTGTATCATGGAGAAGGAAGTGAAATAGACCCATAATTGCTATTGAAAATCTTCATAGAATCACTTTCTTAGTCGATTTATGCATACCAGTCCGTCTGTCTGTCCATATATTTTTGTGAACAAAATACAGGTCGCATTTATTATCCGATTGAGATGAAATTTTCCAAACAATATTTATTTGGTCCAATGACGAACCCTGTTACGATTGATGAGAATCGGGTAAAATTTAGATATAGCTTCCATATATATCTCCAACCGATTTCGGGTTAATTGTGCACCTAATGGCCTATATTAGTGCAAATTACCTGTATTTTGGCACATCCGAACTGATTCAGTCTAGAAGAAAGTACATCAAATTTGGTGAAAACATATATTTTAGATATAGCTATAACTCCCATACATATGTTTCATCCTATGTGTTTAAGTCGCTCAAATTTGTAATATGTATCCCACCATAATGATATTTGGTACCAGGCATCGTATACAGCCCAGAAATACATCTGCCAAACTTTATCGACATCGGTTCAAATTTATATATACAATCGATATACATCTTCATACGATTTTATGGTTATTGTCCACCCTATATGTAATAGCAGTCCAAATTGTAAAGATTTTTTTATATTCATCGAATTTTTCCATTTGATGAAACTAGGTCCGGTACATCAATTTCTCCAATAATTTTTTTTAAATATAATTCTTATCGAAGTCATATCATGTACCTTACTGCAATGTTATTTGGTACTAGAGGTACAAAATCCTCCGTCTCATTTGTTGAAAATCGATTTATGGTTCGATATAGTTCCCCAATTGTGACTACTCTAAAGCCATGATACGCATTCAAATAAGGTTCATAGTTGGTACGATCGATTCCCATAAGTTCCCAATATAAACCTCTTTTGTTACGGGAGCTCTACTAAATACGCATAGTGGTGTCGGGTGTCATATAGTCGGCCCCGCTCGATTTTTGACTTTTCTTTACTGGCTTATTGATCCTTTAGTACATTTTATTGTGTTTAATGTTCAAGTAGCTTCTTATGTCTAATTGATACACCATGTTTTATTCATCTTTTTTTTAAATTAGAATACGATGGAGTCATAACAAATATGTATTTATACGATTTAAGGAGCCAATTATTTAAAATCGATCCCATTAGAAGTAAATTCGGTACATTATTGGGACAACGTTAACTTCGGGGTACTCCTCACTCATGATAATGCATCGATATTTGTTATCAATCAATCATGTTTTATAACTAATAATCAAAAGTAAATTATATGATTAGACGATGTTTGATTTTGAATATCACGTTTACCTTAATCTTAGTAAGTCATTATCATTCTCCATTGCTTATCGGGCAATTGTTGTTTATATTATTTTACTTTGCCCTAATTAACACCCAACACCGTAACTTTAATTTTACTTTTTAACTTTAATCTTTTTTGGTTTTATTTCAAAATTTTAAAAACATATAACACATATACATATTCCGATGGCTTTCGACTTTTTATATTCCTTCGGTGAAGAGACACTTGGTAAATGTTCTTGCGATGAAAGACATTTTTCGACATCTCTGTAGGTAGATTCCATAGATGGAAGATGTCCTATTCATTCATATTCATACTCTCTTCTATGTGACCGAGGGTATGTTAAACTTTTCTGGGTTCTCCCAATGGCAAAACTAATAAAAGAAAGAAACGTAAATATAGTAAATATGTAAAATTATGTCTGCCTTCCTCAGTCCTTTCTTTGAGTAGAGATCTTCGCGCATTGACTAGGGTCTTAAGTAATTTCTTACTAGGGTCTTAAGCAATTTTAGAACTTTTGAAATGTTTTAATATTTATAATGTTTATTAACAATTATTAAAATAGTAATATATACAAGATAATAATAAAGAAATGTACTTAATTAATCACTCTTTTTCCTTTCAGTATAACAGTATTGACAAAGGATTTCTCAGTGTTTATGTTATGCACCCGTTTTGGAATAAATGTGTAGAGGTAAGTGGTTATAAACCCCAACAACTGTGTCCAGCTATTTAAACTATCCCATTTAGTTTCTTCCGATGTGGTTGGCGCCGAATATTCTAACATTTGTAGGATTTCTTATGACGGTGGTTAATTTTCTTCTGCTATCCTACTACGACTGGGACTTTGAGGCAGCAAATCCTGCAGAGAATACAGTACCGCGGTGGGTGTGGTCAGTGGCGGCCTTAAATATACTGATATATTATAATCTAGGTAAGTTGTGTGTGCGTGTGTTGTGAAATATTGCTTTGCTGACCAATGCGTTGCTCACAGATGGCATGGATGGCAAACAGGCACGGCGTACCGGTACAAGTGGGCCGCTTGGAGAACTGTTCGACCACGGCTTAGATTCATATTCGGCTGTGCTAATACCCATCTATATGTTTTCGTTGTTTGGATCGGACGATTTGCCACCTATTCGTATGTTTTTCGTCATCTGGAATGTGTTTTTGAACTTCTATTTGACCCATGTGGAGAAATACAATACCGGTGTAATGTTTTTACCTTGGGGTTACGACTTCACAATGTGGGTAGGTAGAACAACGCAGATTTGATGTTTTCATCCCACAGACATAATGTTTTTTGCTTTATTTAAGGGCGTAAGCATAACACTGTTTTTGACCACGGTAATAGGGCCAGGTATTTGGCGTGCCCGAACAATTTTTAATCTATCAATGGCCAATGTGTTTGAAATCATCTTAATCGGCTCGGGCATTGTCACAAGCCATCCAATCATCGTCAAAAATATTTATATGTAAGTATTGACATAATGTTGGTTAGGGTAATCCGGCGTTGGTTTAAGCTCACCATTTCGAAATTTTCTTTTGAAAGAAATAATAATTAATTAATAATTAATTTTCGGACATTTTACATTTGCAATATTGGACATGCTTATGTGTGTCCTGTTTTAAAAAAATATTTTATAAAAAAATATAAAGGAAATAAATATTTTTCATTTCATTGAACAAGTATGTTTCAGGTCCTTGACTTTTTGTTGTGTCCCCGTGAAAGAGTTCCGATCAGCCTGTTCAGAATGAAAGGTTCTGTTAACGTCGCTCAAAGTAGGGTATACGATATAATTTAGAGTATTTATACTGATGACTCAAAGAATTCAATTTTTCGGGTATTTATGCATATTCGTTCGCCAGTTCTTCTAAAAATCCAATATACATGACAGAAAACTGCCTGTTCAGGTTCACGTTTTCTTATAGGTCACACATAAAGGCACCCCTCGATACTTTGATGATTATTTTAAATTTGGTATTTGAAGTTCGTAATGGGTACTACAGCCTACGACAGAAAATTGTCTGTGCAGGTCTACGTCTTCGCATTGCCCCCATAAAACGGTATCCCCCGATATTCGGTATTTGGATGATTTTACCGAGATTATTCACCGGCATTTTTTCAAATTTGGTATTTTGAAGTTCGTAAGGAATGCTACAGCCTAAGACAGAAATTGACTTTGCAAGTTCACGTCTTCGTATAGGTCCAATATAACGGTACCTCCCTATATTCGGTATTTTGATAATTTTAGCTACATTATTCAAAGAATTTTTTTATTCAAGTTTCGTATTTGAATATTGTAATGGATTATGACAAAAGTTGCCTATGCTGATCCACGTCGTCGTATAGGCCCTAATATAACGGCTACATTCGATATTTTTAAGATTTTAATGGAATTTTTAACGGATTTTATTTTTTTTTGAAAATTGTCAAAATTGTTCCAAATGGTGGAGGGTATTCAAAGATCGGCCCGGCCGAACCTAAAGCTTTTTCCCTTGTTCAGAATTATATTCAATTATCGTACGATTTCTCATGAAACCTATGAAAGGCCCGAGGGTTTTATTTTTTTTTTTTTGAAAATTGCCAAAATTGTTCCAAATGGTGAAGGGTATTCAAAGTTCAGCCCGGCCGAACCTAAAGCTTTTTCCCTTGTTCAGAATTATATTCAATTATTGTACGATTTCTCATAAAACCTATGCACGGCCCGAGGGTATACTTAAATTTGGCGTACGGCATTATAATGTCGGTTCTGTCTGACTTTTCGCTTACCTTCCAGGCTGTTATTAAACATGATTCTTTTTTTAGGTCCTACAAAAATAAGACTGGCAAAATGAGGCCATTTTTGGAAGCAGTTCGTCCAATGTTCCCCTTCCTGTGGCTCTTTTTCTTCACCACAATTTGGGCCTTCTATTCGCGCAATAACGTTCTGAGCCTGGAACCACGAATTATGTTCATTTTATTTGGAACTCTGTTCTCGAATATTGCGGTGAGTAACCAAATAAATCAAAGCTAGAAAAAGATATTTATTAAAAAAATGTTTTGCAGTGTCGTTTAATTGTAGCGCAAATGTCTGATACCCGTTGTGACGGTTTCAATATACTCATGTGGCCCCTGGTAGCCACTGTGGCTGTGAGCTGTTTTCCATGGTATGAGCAGGTGATGGGCAGTGAAATTGAAGCAAATGTCGAAAGGTGGATTGTTCAGGGTCTGACAATATTTGTGACCATAGCTCATTTGCACTATGGACATGGATTGGTGGGTTTTGCTGTCGGCCATTCCGACGTGTTTTATAATCCATTTCTTTCTATTTTTGTAGGTTCGGGAAATGTGTAGCCATTTCAAAATACGCTGCTTCAAAGTAAGAGATCGTCCCGTAACGACAGCAGTTCGTAAGGGTTTAAAGCATGCCGAATAAAACACATCTCAACTACCCAAATCATTGAGGGGTATTTTTTTCCAAGCACTAACAACCATTGGGGCCAAGTAAAGCAAAATGTGTGATTGTTACAGAACATAGATATATTTTCGGGTATCCTTCTGGTATTTATGTTGTGTTGTCGCAATGGTGTCAATGACAAACTGTAAATGTGTCACAGTTTTTTTCTTATTTGTGTTTGTAGGTTTGTGTGTGTGTGTGTGGATAAGCGGAATGTGATCATAAATTTAAAAGTAGTTTTTCTTATGAAAATTTATTCTAAGTTGGGCTTATGTGTATGTGTGTGCATGTAATGAAATCTATGTGTGTTAGGTATGTAATTGAAAAAAAAAAAACTGAAAAATGGAAAAACGAATTTAATTCTCAGAAAGTAGCCTCTTTATCTCAATTATTTTTGGGTCTCAACTTGAACCATGTTAAGAGACACATTGCCTGTTATGCGTCATGTATCTCTAATACGTAAGTGTATGCATCGTTTGATTTGGTGAACATAATAAATAAATAGATTAAATGTCAATTTAATATATCATGTCGGTAGCAACGTCAGAATTGTAAATATACAAATATAACAATATTCTAAATCTTATTTATTCAATTAGTGTATATCTATTTCCATAAGCGTATTTTAGAAAGATACAAAACAAATAATAAGAGAAATACCACACTGAAAATTCTTCATCATTAGGATTTGAAAATGCAAATATAATTCGAGTTATAAATCTGAAAAGGACATTTTAGATTTAAAAATTAAATAGACGGAATTGTATTTGCCATTAACACTTGGTAGATTGAATTTTCCTATGGAAAAATATCACAAGACTGAGCTCAGCAATATCGAAAATATTGAAGAAGAAAAATATCAATCGAAAAAAAGAAAATAATCTGTCAATCATTCAGGAAGCAATTCAAAATAATATGGGTTAAAAACTCTGCATGCAACTAATAAAATGGGTATATCACATAGAACGAATTATTCGAATCTATAAAACAGTTATTAATCCTATTTATTGATGGACATGTTAAAATAGATTACAAAACCAACACCGGCGGAAGAAGAAATGCAGCCAACGGCCGAAATTGTTTAAGAATAGCGAATTACTTTGCTCGGGGCGAAGCCGAGGAACGCCACCAAAACATGGATCAGATTGACAAAATACAAATTAAGAAATATTTTTTTAATTATAGTTTTAAGACGTTATATTTTTACATACATAAGTGCATACATTTGACACATATTTATATACATAATAATAAAATTGTAATGACAATCTGTTAATTGTCTATGTTTCTTTTGAGGGGCAACGTACGATGAAGACTTCTTCCTGTGAACGGAAACCGAATTTTGTAAAAAGATTTTTCGATATTTCGTTCGACGCATTGATCATGGTACGCATGGCATGGCCTTCTTGTGAAACTCGTTTAAAAAATTCCTTGATGAGCACTGATGCAAGACCGTGTCTTCTGTAGCCTTCTCGAACATGTAGGGTTCCCAAAAATCCGCATTGACATCTAAATGTAAAATATATAAAAACAATTGTTAAATATTTTAAATAGTGCTGTTTAGGACAAACCTTGTACACCAAGCCACTAGTTCTTTGTTGTCCTTGCGATACACGCCAAGACTTATATTGTATTGAATTAAGGATCGGATAAATTCTAAAGAACCTTCTTGACGAGAATACCAAATGTCATTAACAATTGCGGCATCTGAAATATCCAAGGATTCGACGACAAATTCAGCGGGACATCTTAAAAAAATAATAATAATGAAAAACATCAATATGTACGTTGCTTATGTAAATATCCACATTTGTGAAGGATTATAAATATAAGAAGGATATATTAAAAATGGTAGTATAAGTTCAGTTATTTTTATGACAGTCAGTTATTAAATGACATTGTGGTACATCGTAGCATAATTATCAAACTTAGATCGAGCTATGAGATGGGCAATATCGGCCCACTCCTTCTGGTACCTCCCTCACAAAGGTCTGCAAATCATAGTATTTGTATCATTGCTAGGTCAGTTGAGAAAAAGTGTAAAATTTTTGAATAATTATAGCTCTTATAAAATGTCTTTGCATTTCGCGTATATCAATATTTTTACCAACACAAGATCTGGTGTGAAAGTCGGTCCATTACTTCGGGTACTTCCCCACAATGGGTCAAAAATTTGAATAATTATATCTCTCATAAGATTCGAAATTAACATCTGATTCATTCTAAACTTCACACATTTCAATATTTATTCTAACACAAGATCTGCTGTGAAGATGGGATATATCGACCCACTACTTCTGATACCTCCCCACAAATGATCAAAAATTTTCAAACTGATATCTCTCATAACTTGCGAAACAAGTTAACGATCCTTTCAAACTTAGTAAGTCTAAACATTTTTTCCTCAGCCAGAGATCTGATGTGAATATGGAATTTTGCGAACAAAATTCGTTTGTTCTGATATACAGCTTTAATTCACAAACAGTTTTTTAAATTAATTATGTCGCTTTGATAATACATTGAACTTACCTAATATCGGAATACATAGCAGCATTCGGATCGTGTTCATATATTTGTAGATTAACCTTTCGGTATTGTAATCCAATTTCCTGAAAGGTTTTCTCCACTATGTCAATTAGTGATGCCGGCAGAGCTGTTATTTTAAAGTTGGGATCCCAGTTGATTGACCGGAGTGCCGTGGATACCTCCTCCTCGTCGTACGTCACACAGTTTATATAGTACTGATACATATCCTTCAAAATCAAATTAAGTTGAACTTTAGAGTAGATATTCACTCATATTGTTTTGTTTTACTTGTTTTCGTTTATCTACCTCGATGATAAAGAGCCCACTTTTCCGCCAAGAATTACTAACGACATATGCTTTTACAAAATCCAATTGTGGATTTGATTCAAACCACTGAACATAATTTGTAAGTGTATAATAGCCATGGCGAGTTTTTAATGATTTTCCTTCATACAAGCCACGGAGTACTTTCAAATCTTCAACTGTTTGTAGTAATTCAAATTTACTCATTTTTTATATTTTCAGTTTTTATTGGTATTGTTTTATTCCGAGTTATAAAAAATGCGTTTCCTGATGACACATACTGGACGATGTATAAACTACAACTGAACGTTGTAATTGTTTTCTACACTGAGTTTAAACAATAAAGAGTGTGAGAGAACGTAATTTTTTCTCTTTAAACATTATTCTCCATCTGGCCAGGTGAAATTCTCCGCTGTGGGTAAAGTACGTAGCCAATAGCAACGATCGGTTACGGTAAAACCAATCTTTTCGAACATGCCTCGCGATGCTTTATTATCCTCGTTGACAAGTGCCATAACATCCTCGCCCTGTTCACCCAAAGAGCGAGCTATGGCACGGGTTACAACGCTTCCCAAGCCCTGGCGCTTATATTCGTTTTTGACTTGTAGTGCGCCCAAAAAGCCACCCTGTAGGCTATGTGGAAAATAAATGTATAAATATTGTTTGCCGTATTAGAGGCTTTTTCTTACCGTAAACACCATGCCACCAATTCATCCGTTCCATCAGCATAGACGCCCATGTTTACATTCCAATCAATGAGTCGTTTTATCAGAAACAACGAGCCATTGTGGCGATTGGGCCATAGCTTGTCGATTGTTTCAGCATCAGTGGTAGAGGTAAGGGGTTTAACATAAAAACCTTTCGGACAACTGGAATTGGGAGTAAAATAAATACGTATGCATGTTTAAGAAATATTTTAGTTAAAATTTCTTAAAAACAAATATTGATATGTATTTCTAATTTCAAATAGGGGAGAATCTGAAAGTGGGTCCACTTATAACAAGCGTATCCTAGATACTTGTTAAAGTCCACGAAATAAAGATACAACCCGCACCAAGTCTTAAATTACTCAAAAACTATCCAATATCAGTACAAAATTCCCACTTTTAGAAATTTTCGAGATGACCCAATTGGTCATAATTTTAGTTTTCACATGCTGGCCGTTTTAAATAGTTTTCATTTGTATGTTTAAAAGAAACATTTACCTTATTTTCAGTTTCTTCGCCACATTGTGCGGCATATAGTACATTAGCGTCAGACTATCGTATTCACACTGCAGACCTTTGTTGTGCACAATATTCAGCACCGACTGTCGATGGCACTCACGAAAAGAACTTACTTTCAGGCCAATCGACCAATCCAATTGTTCCAATGCCCGGTAGAGATTCTCACAGCTGGTGGTATTAAGAGAACCAAGAAACACTTGATATCGATCGACAACAACATAGAGAGCTTCCACATGATCGCTCTCCTCTCTCATGGTGTAGATCTTCAAGTTTTTTATGTTGCCATCCAATCTCTTCCATTTGTAAAAATTATCTAAACAATAGTAGCCGACGCAGTGTTGGGGCCAATCTTTTAAATACAGATCTCTCAATTTGCGAATATTCTCAAGATCGTTAACTTCGATTAGTTTCTTATCATTTTCTATGGCAGACATTCTTGTAATCTAAAAATAAACGAAGTACGGTTAGGACTGAGCGTATCAAGCGTAGATCTTGCTTGAGAGACCAGATAATGGAAACTAAAACAATTTAAAATTTTAGCTTGTTCTCCATGTGAGAAATATACGACGATTTAGAGTTGCCAAGCAATGTTAATATTGTTGTTGTATCTTTTTTGTATCCGATAATACAAAAAATTAAGGGGGATGTACATCAGAGCTGAGCAAAATCCTAAATAAAAAAGAGATTAGTTAAGAGAAAACTTGAATTACGTTTTTAGCTGTATTTATTTCAACCAAATTTAAATATGAATCTTGTCTTACATTTTGTATAAATCAATTATTGGAAGAATTAAATAAATAATACATAAATATTGATTTGTTGCCGGGTTAATGACAACAAAGAATAATTGAACTGGTGCGCTAGAACACATTGTTTATCAGCTAGGATATACATACATATATACATATGTAACACAACCCCTTTTTATAATGTTTTGAACTTGCTATTATCACATGTTTTTAAATTTCAAGAAATTTAGCCAACGAAAGTTGTCATAAGGTATCCAAAAAAACTTATATTTATTAAAAAAAGTTTTCTTTTAAATATTTTAAAAAATAAAATATATAATACAAAACTATTTTTAAACTTTTTAAAGTTACATTAATGTTTAAATTTTATCCCTCAGTTATTAAAAAAAAAACAACAAAAAAGTAACAATACGGCTAAATTATCGTGCAATATATTTTCACTGAAAACATGAATATTTCATATCGATGACCCACTCTATTAAATAACACGTTTGTTGGGTTATGTTCTCTCAAAGATATAGTAAACTTTGTATATGTTTTTGTTTTTTTAAACAGAGGTGAACAAATCAGATAAAGAGATAATTAAAGAGAAAAATGTTAAATGATTTTTAATGCTTTATAATTTATTTAACTTTTTTAAAACATGCATGTCATCTGAAATGGTAAAAAAAGTAGTCATTCAATGTTATGTCTGGCTTTCAATATTAATAAGGTGGTGGGATAAAGTTCACATGTTGGGTATAATATTTTTTCAACATGTGACTTTAAAATGTTAACAGTAAATTTAGAAAAATGATAATAAAACAACACATTTTATTAAAAAAATTAAACATTTACAATACAAATATTGATCTGGTCGAACTTATCTTCAACAACTTTCTTATAAAGAATAAAATTCAAAAAAGTTCAATCTTTTAATTTTCATATGTTTTTGTCTCCCTACGTTAGTAAAGTAGTAATTTGTCGGTCCCAACTGCTACGTTATAGAGAAGTTCGACGGAACGTCTCGTTGCGTATTTCGAGGGAAAAACATCACTATAGAGCGTTTTCATAATTGTCTAATTCTAAAAAATTAACATATGTTTTCCACAGTCAAATTTATTGTGATTGATTAATTATCAACATTTCACAGATAATGATTTTTATGTAAATGAAATTTTAATACAATGTCTTGTCGAATAATTTTCGGCTACCTTGTTAATGTGCCGTCACCAAAGATTACACTCCGCCACTTGTAGACAATAAAAGTTTTTTTTATTAAAACTAACAACAAAAACAGAGGTGATTAGACACTCTCTTTCCCGCTCTGTTTTTTGCACTGAATATGAGAGCTTTAGTGCAAAAATTTAGTTTCCTTCTAGATGTTGTAACGTGTGGAACTCTGACATTTTGCGGTTGGATTTTTTTAAGAGAAAATATGAATAAATTAATTGAGATACCAACAGAGAATTGGCCTCAGCTACGTGATTTATATGCTGGACATGAAGATAAAGCTTCATGCTATAACACCATACAGACATTCATTGATTGGATCAGACAGGAACCTTCCTTACCCCTCAAGATTTATTCTCTAAACAGTGAATGGCAGATGACTGGAACATATGTGGCCCACTTAATGGTAAGCATGAAGCGACTGAAGTTAACATTTATTCAATGAATATTTTTATTATTTTTAAGGCTTTTAATCAAGTGTTCTGCAATACGCTGAAAGATGATTTATCTGAGTTGACTGAAATTTTAAACTGTTTTGATAACGGCCATTTGATTGCTGGCTTTCAAGAGCGGGTCTTGCCGGCTGTTGATAAATATTTTCTTGATTCGGGGCTGAGCAAGGATCAGTTTGGAAATACTTGCACCATTTGGTACCACATTTCTAGAGATGAAGCTCTAAATTTTGACACCAAGTAATAAATTTAATTTACATTTGCTAGGAAAAAAAAAACAATAAATTCTCTTCCCCATAGGTTACCTGAGAATATAACAGCTAAAGATTTGAACGAGAGTTACGCCGAACAAATAAACAATGTGTGGCCTCATCGCAGCGAGGGTTCGGTGAACTTTGTCAAAATGCTCATACGACTGAACAAAAGCGTGGGCCTTTTCGAAGATGGCAAATTGGTGGCATGGTGTTTGTTGTAAGTATCATGTATAGTATATTTAGATGTCTGACTAATGTTTCTTTTGACAAAAACAGACTGCCCCTTGGAGCCCTTGGTCTATTGCAAGTTGAAAATACTCATAAACGTAAAGGGTTTGGATCACTTGTTGTAAAACTGTTGTCAAAATTCCTAGCAGAGAATAATATCGAAGTGACAGCTCCAGTTGTCGTTAAAAATGTTGCTTCACGTTCTATGTTTGAAAAATTAGGCTTCAAAGAAGTCGACAAAGTTTATTGGCAATTTAAATTATGAAAAAAAATCCAGAAGCGGAAAATAATAATTTTCAGTAAATGATTTGAATGTGCTTTGTTGTTGTTTTACTTTATTCATCTAGATAGGGGATGTGCAAAGGTCTATGACAAAAACATAACATTATCACTTTTTTTGTTTTAAGAACCCATTTTATTTCAAGAAAATTGACATTTTACATGTCAATGGGAACCTTTTGAACATGTCAAACTTATTGCATAACATATAGATTGCACTTGATATTACTATCTAATGAAATGAAATGTAAGGCGGCCATTACAATGGATGTTTAGGATAATCCAGTATTTTCTATTATACCCTCCACCATAATATGGAGGGTATATTAGTTTTGTCATTCCGTTTATAACAACTCGAATTATACATTTTTGACCCCACAAATATATATAGCTTCCGAACGAAATGAAGTAGGTTGATAAAATTTTACTCAAATGTATATTATGAGTGCAGGACTTTTGGTATTGAAATGTCCATGTTTTCGTATAGTCCTCACATAACGTTACCTCCCGATATTCGGTATTATGATGATTGCTAAAATCATTCAAATTATTCACAGGAATTATGAGTAAAATAAATAAACATCGGATAATATGAGAGGGTGGAATCAACACAAACCGTATGTTGGGCAATATAGTTTCTTTTCGATAGCTGTGTAAAGATCAGGGGCTGGAATCTTGCTTGTGAATAAATCAAAATTAAAAAGTTTCGTAAACGTAACGCTAACAAAATGACGCAAGGCAGTAAACATATGTATACGCATTTTCAGGACTGATTGCAATGCCATCTATATTTTGTGACACAAACACTAGCTACTTTTTTCCCACAAAATGTGTACATGTTAAACATCAACATCGTTTATAAACATGTTGAGTTTGTATGCTGTGAATGCCTGGCTGTTTGACAGATGCGTATAAGCGATACGGATTCATGTATCTCTCATACGTTCCACCCCACTTGCAGTGCACGCGGTTACGGCAACTCGGCGAATAAGGGTTACTTTTATGGGTGTAAATAAATGTACAGGAAAAGAAAAGTACATTTTCCATTTTCCATCCCTTATTTTCGAGCGGTCGATATTAGCGCCTGTGAGGTTTCTTTGCCACCCGAATGATTTTCCCTTGTCAATTGGCAGTTCGTTCCACAGGAGACAAGTGCTTTTTTTGTTGTTTACCCCAAGTTTGAATTAATCAATGTTTATTTTGGAAAATTAATTTCGGTGATGGTGATTTTTCCTTTAACCGTTGCTGGTGAGTGGAGACAGAGTAAAAAAGTTATTCACAAATTCGTTTTTTAAAAAGAAAATAAACACCATTTGCCAAGATTCCGTGCAAATACACACAGTGCAAAACACACGTTTCTAGGGCAAAGAGCATAAACTGGATTTTTGAATGTCAAGTGCAAACGTGAAAGAACGCCCCTCAGGAATGGCTCCCATTCTACGGAAATGTCACAGATTCTTTTAAACAAAATAATTTGGTAATTTTAATTCAAATAGTAATTTTTGAATGGATTTTGGTAAATATCGGCAGACATAAATAAACAAAAATTATGATATCGATGATAACCTGACCCCCAACAAGGCTAGTTTGTATGTAAATTTTACCGTTATTGGCACGATTCTGTATTGGTGGGTGTAGAAATGTGTTTTTTATGAAAATTATATAAGAAACTAGACAAATTGACCATATTGTGTATGTTGCAGACCAAAAAAAAAAACACGTAGCCTTAAACGTGCACACTATCAAAATATATGACATTCCAAAAGATCTATGTATGTATGCATGTTTGTAGATATGCTCGCAGCCAAGGCGCAAACTACAAACACCACAGTGAATGTAGCATAAGTGAAATTGAAACAGGAGAAAAAAGAACAACATTTGTTTTAGTTAATCGATACGTTAATTAGAAGAAGGTACGCAAAAATGGTCTGAAATAAATTTGGCTCTTTTAATCGACATTTGCTAATACAATTTGGCATATAAAGCGGAATGATTCCAATTCTGAGTGTGGCTTTCTTTTTTTGAAAAATACACTATATATAAAATGCGATGTCAGGGAATTCAAAACCATTCGAATGCTGAATATTTTAATATTTTGGAAAGAATTGTCTAAACTATTTAATAGGAACCAAATCGGAATGAGTGCAACGCATATAGTTAATCTCTGGGAACACAGTGTCCACCAGTGCTACATTGAATTTTAATTTATCGTTTTTTGAAGTATATATCGAGACTAACACATGTTTTTATCCTCCACCATAAGATGACATTTGCAACACCTTGAAATATTCGTCGATAACCCCATTAAGTGTATACAATTCTGATTCGAGTTAACGATATCTGCACGGCCTTTAGTATTTAGGATAAATGAATGAAATTTGGTATAGACTTCTATTGTACTCATATGATATTTGGCTCTAAAAATATCAGAAAATTGTCATTATATGACCATTGTTTGATTTTTTTAAGTATTTTGAAGATTTCAGACATATATTTTTCCATATTTTCCTGCCAACAATGTTTATCATTGGTACCCATATGGCTGTGCCTCCTGACATTTCGAAGATTTTGTGGTTTCATTGGATGTGATCCACTCTACGAAAAGTTAATTGGTCTATGACGCTTCTAATGGTACTGGCCGATTTAATGTGCTTTATTCCCGGCTAAAATGTCCATTCGATTAGGCTGCTTTGGAGTATTCTTTAAATACCTCAAAGTATATTTTTGATCAGCATACAATTCCATGCCGATTTAGCTATGTCCGTCTGTGGAAATCATTCTAGCTTCCAA